CCTTAACCCGGATCTCTCTGATAACGGACTGGATCCAAGAATCAGCAAAACTGGCTGTCATCTTAGCACTGGATGCTCCAAGCAAACAACTGCCTCTTCTCTTCAAATTTTTAGACCCTTAGGTCATGGCCATTGATCTGTCTGGTTTGGCTAATGGCAGTAACATAAATTCCTTTATCTAAGGTTGTCCCTTTAGGCATAAAGAATTCTGGAAATTTCTTGCATCATATACAAAAATATAAATCAATACTTCACATGCCTCTACATGTATTAAAGCTACAATACAAGGCTTCATCAAGACACTCATTAGAGTTCCAGAGGTTGTTGGTTGTAACTAGGCATTGATTTCACTTCTCAGAATACACAATGCTGGGCTCTAGAATAAGACACTTGATACAATTTTCATCTTCCTTTCATGTCTCAGGCTACAGACTTCATAGAGTATCATAGAGTTTATTTAATCTTATTCAAATTCAATTTAAGAAACATGGTATACTTGTCAAATATCAGAGCTAAACTGTAATAGTCTATTTTGTTGATGGTGACAGTATTGTGTTGACTGCTGACAGTATTCAAGCCTCACCTCTTTTTTCCCTTTACGTCCTATGTTTGGATAGGTTGGAGAGTTTTAAACCATGTAAGCTCCCAGTTGCACACTGAAAACTTCATCCCAACCTCATCACCTAACCACATAAAAATTCCAAGCCAGTCTTTCTTTGTTCTCTCAAGACATTTCCCCAGCTTTGGAAGTCTGTCCCCTGATTTCCCAAAGAAGCATCATTATATGAGTAATAAACTTTTGAATAACCTGTTGATGTGTATGCAGTATCATTAGTCCCAATATCTGAACCAAATTTTGTGTGTGGGTTAATTCTCTATCTCCACAATGGGGACAACAGGTGGCCTGTGCTATAAAAAGAATTCTTATATGTGAAAGACAGGCGGGAGTTTTAGAGAAATGACTTTTCCCTGCTGACCTGGAACCCTCGTATGTGTGTGTATGTGTGTGTGTGTGTGTTTGAACTGCAACTAAATCATCTTGGTTAAATGGCTTGTGATCCTCTCAGAACAGCTATCATGAACCAGTTTCTCATCATCTACCAGTTTATGATAAGGTATGTGACTTTCTGTCCTGCCCTCTTCAGAATAGAGCTGCATAATGCAAAAACACAGCTGCAGTGTATATTTTTCTCCACAGCAATAGAGTATCCCACAACTTGTGCTGCAGTCATCTAGGCCTTTTTGTTTCTTAGTCATCATTTAGGGTATATGGGACCAAGGACTCAGGGAGCTGGCCCCTTTGACTCATTCTATTCATACTGTTTATGTAAGTACTAAACTATCTAAATCTAAAAATGGCTCCTTTTATCTTCACTAGTCAAATCGGTCAGGGTTTGGCCTTGTCTTCCATGTATGGGCTTGTTACCATATAATCCTTATTACTATGTTTTTACCCATTAACTCAAATAATATAATTAGCATACATATATTCAGTCAATAGTTCTTACACTGAATAAGTCCTGAGAGTTTACCGTGTCCTTCAATCATTTGTATTTGGGAAGCCTTCAGTGAATTATCAAATGGAACTGAGGGGCCAGTGTCAAACTTGAGGGAATATTACATAGTGCTTTTTGAAGCTAAGACTCTAGGGGACCAGCAATTGGCATAATGGCTATGTTGCTGGACTCCCATGTAGTCGACCACAGTTCAAGTCTCGGATCCAGTGTCTTAAACTCACACCGGCTGCATATACATGCATGCCCAAGAGCCCAAGAGGAGAATGGAAAAGGGACTGTGGCATGACCATCCCCTCTGGGGGGTGATTTATCGCTTTCTGTCTCTGTTTCTCTGTCTTTTTGGCGGGTGCACGAGCCCTATAGCAAAAACCTCTCCAAAAGAGAAAAGAAATGAAGCTAAGACTCTAGGAATATATTGGTACTGAAAGATTCAAGGATAATTATAAATATATAGACAAAATACTCTTCCTAGTAAAGAGACACTTGAGCATAGACTACAGTCTTATGCTCATTTTTCATATTTTCCAGTAAACAAATACCTGGTAAAATAACATGTTTTCAACAAGTAGGAGGTGTGATGATCATTTATATAATAAACATGTTATGAGCACTTCTGGGGTGCCATGTACCAGGATCTGTGCCAGACTCAGGGGACATAAGGACAACCACTCTAGGTCCCAGAGTCTTTAAAAGGCAGAGACTTTTGGGTAATAAACATAATTTTGTTAAGAACTATGACAAATAATATATAATAAAGCAAAAGAGTACCTGGGAACACAAGAGTACACCTTACATGAAGAAATCATAAAGGGCTTCTCAAAAGCAGTGGTTTACAAAGGTAGGGGCTATGATTATCCCTAATTTCTAGGCAAAAAAACTAAAGATAAGAAAAGTAACTTGGTAGAGGACATATAGCCTCCAGTCAAGCCAGTTGTTCTTTTTTAAGTTTGCTGGTTCCATTAGAGAGTCACAGAGAAGAAAGAAAAGACAGAGTGAGACAGCATTCCCAACAGGGTCTTGATGCCATAATCTACTCCCAGTCTCAGCCAGCCATGGATCCAGTGTACTCCAGGCAGGTCTCTGGATGTGAACCAGGAACCTTGCCATGTGCATTACATTCTATCTCTGCCAACATCCAGCCCCTGGTCAAGCCAGTTTTGAGCTGTGACCTTTTGGACTTCAAACCATGATACTACCACCATGTATAATTGCCCTGGCTCTGTTTTTCTCTCAACTTTAAATAATATACATACTAAAATAGAGTAGACTCAATTTAGGAAACAACTTCCAGGAAAAAACTAGTGGATTATATATATATATATATATATA